CTTTTTTACAATACCGTATTTTCCCTATTAAAATTGTGAAATTAAATACGAATAAAAAAGATTCTTTTACAATACCATTAGTAGCACATGCGCCTACATAAAATGTATTAGCCAGAAATTTAATAATGCTTTATTGGGTTAATATATTGCCAAAATTGTCAAACAACAAAGGGAAAAAATAATTAAATGTTGTGTGTCACAAAATAAAAATACGTCAAGTAGTTTGATAATTAGCAGAACAGTGTCTGTAATAATTTAGGTTACAATAAATGTATACATGCACTCAGATTGGAGATTTGTTCCTGATGAAGCAAATATTGTTCTAATTGTAGTAGAAAGCACATTGGGGATGTGATCTGTTTATCAAAACAAATATTTTAAAAGTATGTATTTCCATCATTGGCGTCACTATACTATGTCTGAGACTACTAGAGAATTAAGATTGTTGGTTTTCATTGCTTTCTGTTGAACAGGAAATGGATGACTTAGTAGCTGAACTCCAAGAAGCACAATCGGAAGAAAAGAAAAGAGAGGAGTCTAAACTGAGAGCATCCAGAGAGAAGCAGTCAGCGGTTGAAGAACTTGGTGAAGGGGTAAGTTTTGTAAACCACTCTAAAGGGTGGTGGTCACAATGCATGTTTGAATTTCAATGTAAATAAACAATGTATTTTACACATGCTACAAAAGCGGAAGCGGTCAAGAGGTTTGGGGGAAATGAGTAGAGTACTTCTTTGTTTGATGAAGCGATGCTGATGCCACATTGTCGCCATTATGAGGCCACAATGAAGCGAAGCGATAACCGCCTAACTTTTTAATGTCGCGACATTGAAGCGATGCTGAAGCCATAACAATGCCATAATGATGCGATGCTGAAGCGAAGGTGAAGCTGAAGTGAAGCCAAAGCTTCCGCGAGAACTGTACTGTATGTACGACGATATGAGTCCCATATCGATCAGGATGCGACATGACGACCTTTAACTTTGCGACAAATTTCTGTTAATATTGCAAGTTTTGGAAATTTGATTTCGATGAAGAAAGAACAGGTTATTTTTTATGACAGTCACAAAAACTTTCACAAAATTTTCTTTTTGTAAAAGTGCTCAAAGTGTTCAGAATGTTATTGGTTTGTTCTGTAAAGTGTAATTTATTGTACTTTATATGTATACTTGAAAACTTAAATTCACTCAAGTCTCAAGAGTACAGAAAAAGTATTTAATATTCCTTGTCGTGGCACTGACTGTGAGAGAGGCAGTGCTAAATATTGAGGATAAAACTGAAAAATCTATTTTCGTCATAGCTGGAAAATGTACTGAAGGAAAGAAAACAAGAATTGAAAGACGAACACAGAAAAGAATTGGAAAAACTGAGGAAGGAACA